TAATGGGTTTGCATAGAGCTCTGACCTCATAGGATTTTTGGAATGAAATGTGAGTCAGGCCTTATCAGCCAACACCAGAGGGAGGCCAAACCCTTTCAGCCTTTGACTTCCTAAATCGGTTTAAGGTGGATTATTTCTGGGAAAAACCCTTAGTGCAGTCTAGTGAAGAATCACCTTCATTCTCCCTTGTTTACCTGGTATGTTGTCAGGGACCAAGCAGTAAGGCAAAAGACACAGCTTCCAAAGTTCAAAAAGGGTTTATTAACCTCAAAGTAAGAAAAATACAAAATTAACATCAGCTAAATTGGGCCCTAAAAGAGGTCAACAAAAGATAGGGAAACTCAAAATACAGCAAACTGAACTGTCTAATACCTCAACAAAACCAACTGACCTAGCAAATGACACACACAGGGGAACATATATACTGGCTGGCCAAACCAATAACACACACAAGGGATAAACTAAAGACACTACCAAAATAATCAACTAATAAACCCTAAACAGACAGTCTGCTCTCAACTAAATATTTCCTTTAAATATAAAGAAATTAACATAACTTGACAAATAAAGTTCTAACATAAACTACTGCAGGACTTTCTTGGTTCTTCTTACCATTGCTAACTCTGAGAGACAAGACAGTCCAAGTAACTACAAAACAGTGCTGATTTATTCAAAGGATCACAGGTAAAATTAACATTACACGCTCAGGTATCTTGCACCTCCAAACTGCTCGCAGGCAGATGTAAGATGAAAGACCCTGAACCCACCAGTTATACACATCATAATAATAATATTAAACACCCTGTCTGCTGACAGTCATCAACTCTTCTCTCTAGTTATCCTTGACCAGATGTACCCTGTAGAAACTCATAAGCATGACTAAGCATTTAACAGTCTAACTAGACATCCTATCTCCACTAAACATTTCTAATACATAAAGTATCTATCCAATTTCTATCTGACTAAAAATACCTAACACTACCAACAAATAAACAATTTCTCCCAAACTCCCCCCTTTCTTATATTGGGCACTTGGTGCAGTCCAGGCCTAGTGGGAGGTATTTAAACCTGCTGCTTCCTCAGTCCAGTCTTTTGGCCCCCCCCCACCTTCCAAAGACCAGGAAACACGGTAACTCAAAAGAAAAGGTAAACACATTAACAATACAAAATTAATCAAACGAACAGACTGAGGAACAACTAGCTGCTTGACTGCTCCATGCTGACGATAAAGTACTCCCTTCTGAAGAAAAAACTCCTCAGTCATGCTAAAGTCAGGCTCAGTACCCAATTCCCTCTCTTGTGCTCTCTGTAACAATGAAACTAAATGTGGATCCTTCTGCTGCATGTCCACCATGTTGCTAGGAATCTTAAAACCCCCATATACATCAGGTGTAGGATCTACTACTGATTGAACAACAGTGCCTTTGATTTTTTCCTGCTTTCTCTGCCTGCGTGATTTGCGTGACTTCCCAGGTGCAGTCTCTAAATCAGCATGAAAGAAAGGCAGGGCACTGAGAGTCTCTAAATGTTGGTCTGACTGTCCAGCTTGAGCTCTAGTCACAACCACATTACATTTTTGAGTCATGTGCAACAAATCAAAACGTACTGGCAGATCACGACCCAACACTACTGAAAAAGGCAAATTAGGTACCACCCCAACATTCAGAAGGTAGACTTGGCCCTGCACCTTAATGAACATATCTGCAGTGGGATAAGGTTTTTCATCCCCATGAACACAACAAATAGGGATCATATCATTAACACAAACAACATTAGATGGCACCAATTTACTATGCACCAAGGTCTGATCACTGCCAGTATCAATTAAAGCCTGAACAGCCTGGCCATTCACCTCAATAGGGATTATTCTTACTTTTTGACTACAATCAGCATTAGGTTCACCACCATGACGGGGCACAAAGCACATTTGAGTT